GAGACCTATTCGTCGGAGAAGGGGAATACATGTACCACTGACCTTCGTCGAACAACAGAGAGAGAGCGAGAGACCTCCCAGAAGCTTCCCCTTCGCCTTCATCATTGCCGTTGCCTAGGTGCTTCTCAGCCATGGATCCCCGTTTGACAAATGGTTGGACGAAGTGAAAAGGGTAAGAACGTTTGTGTATGCATGGTAAAAATGTCATTGCTTCTTTTACCCTCTTGGCAAGGTTTGTATCCTATGGGGGAGGTGGGTTTCATTTAACCCGTGGAGGCAGGCTAAAAAATACTATAGCACCTAGGTCAAGGTTTGACCTGGGATTTATAACCTCACTCAATTTTTCCTTCCCAAATAAGGGTTTTGTGGGACCCATGGCCATATTAGCCTACCCAACTAGGTGTTAACCCACTTTAACCCATTACCCAAACATACCCTATGAGTTTATGGGTATTGTGTTAGAAATAGTTAGTAATATAAAGTTAATCCACATTGGAAAATTGAAAGGGAGTGTAAGAGTTTTAAATATAAACACACTAAAATTTATAAGTTTGGATGGTGGAAAAATTTGGAGGAAAGCTCCAAATATTTCAAATCAATGTGTTTTGATTAGGCTTTAAATAAAATAATATTTAAAGTCAAAAAATGGGCAGTTAATTGTGTTAATGAAGCAATTTTGACAAAAATAAATCAATGTGCTTATAAATAATTAATTATTTTGTGTTAATTAAGCAGTTAATTAACTATTACTTGTCCTTTGGCCCATGAATTGTGTCTCTTCAATGCATCTCTAAGGTATTATAAATACCTATACAAATCCTTCTATAAATACATATACAAAACGTTTCTTTATTCTGTTCTTAGAAGACTTTTAGAGTTTGTTATCTAAAATTCTATTTGGCTTTGTTAATCCTAGAGGAATTTGCTTCAAACCCAGCAACAACATAGTGGGGGCATAATTTCCTTAAAGAGAGTGAATACACAATCAAAGCCTTCCATTCTAATCTGTTGTATTTATTTTTCTAACATATTGGCTTTGTGTTGATGGGTTATATTGGTGCTTGATTTTATGGAGTTTTTCATATATTTTTTTTTGGCTTAATTCACTAATTTTTGATGTAATGCACTGTCATTTTTATTTTTATTTTTTGACTTAGTGCACTGGTATTCAGATGATAAATTGCTACTTTATGATGAATTTTTAATTATTTATAATATTTTTAAATTTATGAAATTGCTAGAGTTATATTTAATTTAATGGGAGTAGATTTATGCAATGAAGATCAATTATATAGAAAGATTGGACTAAGCTTAGTGAAAGGAATGATTGACTACGCAGAAGAATAGGACTGTACATATAGGGCTCGTTTGGTAGACGTATTATGAGGGGATTAAATATTAGATTGTACTATGTTTTATTTAATCAGGTCTAATACTTTGTTTGATAAGCAAATTTAATGTCGTATTAATTTAAAAAACGTATACTTATCTTACATTTTTTATACGATAACACATGTAATATGAAAGTTTTTTAATACCACCAAAAGATGTGGTATTCTAATCCAACTCAAACGTATTATTTTACACATTTACTATTATAACCCCCAAAGTAATAAATTTAAGTTGTCATCAATGTAATAAACACTGTGTGAGAGTATTTTTGTTAATTTAACATTACTACATTGAAATAATTCTCTAACCAAATAATTGATTAGATTAAATAACTATTATCCAACACTTATATTGTGTATTGTCAAATATTAGATAAAATTATGTATTATTCTAATATCATATTTAATATTATTTTTAATCCATCTATATTGTATTAGACTGTATTACTTTACCTAATTCATCTATTTTTAATATGGCAACCAAATGAGCCCATAGAGTAATGTTAGATGTACTTAAAAATTGGACTTGATAATCTCAATCATTGAATATGTAGTGGGTTCCAATAAATGCTAAAACCCACAGTGAAATCAATGGTTATAATTATCAAATCTATTTTTTAAATTGATGTAGTATTGCTCGTACATATATTATACATTAATATATTTTGCACCATTTTTGTTTTGTCTTTTTGTTCATTTTACTTAAGCAGATTGATAAAAAAATAATACTAAATTCTTTAATAAAAATAATTTTATATAAATAAATTTTAAAAAATAGTGAGTAATTAGTGAGGAGTTGAGAGGTGAACATAAAGAGGTTGTGTGGTAATTAAAAAAATCAAAATTTTAGAAAAATAAAAAATGTGGAAGAAAGATTTCTCAAGTTTTCTCTCTAAGGAACCTGTGTCTAACAATATTGTGCAATATAAGTGAAAAGTGATGGATTTGAGCGAAAAAAAATTCAATATGACCGATTTTAAGAGAGATGTTGGTGACCATTAGATTAGTTTATTTGAGACCGTTGGATGAATTTATTGAAACCTATCATATTTTATATTATAGATATGTGTGTGTTTATTATATAATATTTTTCTGGCATAATACGATAAATGTATAATTATATATATAGTGTATAATATGTAAAATATACACTTATATGTGTAATGGATAATATGTGAGATTATCATGGTCAATATAGTAAAATAACATGTTTTGTTACTTTCCTCAATTGACAAACTCTTATAGGAGGTGTCATTAAAATTTTAGATATATACACCTTGTGCTTGAAGATAAGATATTCTACGGGGGTATAGATAAAAATTTTCTTATTTTTTAATTAATCGAAACGAAATTTTCATCATCGGTGGGAGAAAAACTATTCCCTCCATTTGTTTGCTTTTTTTTGCTCTTTCTCTCATCTTGTATTTGTCCAAATTTTCTTCTTTAGTTTGTTTTACAACTAAGAATAAGATTTTTTTTTTTCTTTTGCTTATAAAAAAAAATATTTCAATTGCTACATCGATATGACCGATATTATATCATATTTTGACTGATTTTTTTGAATCCAGATAATACAAAGTAACGAATTGTTTATTAGTCCTACAATTATTAGTTTATACTATGAGTCTATTCTTTTTTATTATTATTGAATTCCAGTCTTAAAATAAAATAAAACCAACGAGTCACACACTAATCATAGCAATTATATCAAATGATAAATTAATTTTTTATTCAACAAAATCAACAGGTGGACCTTCTGGAATGAAGCTACGTACACATCTGGGTCAATATCAGATCAGATTTCTGGATCCAAAATAATTGACTACACGTGATGGGTGGAATGTAAAGATCATACGAACCCGTAGTACTTGTGGGTTAATGGTTACTACTACAAATTATTTTTAAAACATTCCTCTTGACAAGTTGAAAGGGAAGTGGCCAGTATATTGAATAATATTGAGGGTAACTTCTGTAATTTGTGACAGTGACCTACATAGTTCATTCCCTAGATGATCAGTTTTTTGTGGTAATTGGGTAAGGTTTTTAATTCTCCATGTTAAAATAAAATATAATATAAAAAGCCCTAAAACTGCGGTCGGATTTGAATGTCATAGGTCAGCATGTCTTTCCCAATCAAAGTCTGTTTGCTGTTTTCAATTTCATCCGTCCGTCACAGTAAAAACTTTTTGACCTCTTCTTCTATTTTTTATTTTTCACTTTTTTTTTTTTTTCATTTTTGCTGTAAGGCAGCTGATCTTGTTCTTTTTTGTGGTTTATGTCTACACTAACATACGCCCTTTCTCAGTCCGGTCAACAACTGTGACTAGAGAATTCAGCTGATCTTGTCATGTTCTTTTTGAACTTCGCCCCTTGTTCGCTATCAATAGTTGGTAATACTACTCTCTAATTCTATATGGCACCCCAAATAGACTGGGTCTTCCAGATAAGGTCGTGCAGAAATAATTAAGAAAATAACCAAATGGGTATTCATCTAATTAGCAGTCAAACTTGGTTGCATCTTCTTGTTTTTTTTTTCAAAAGAACTATATACAATGTCTTGATTGAATTTTCTATTGGGCACTGTTTCTTTCCGAATTTGAAAAGTAAGCCTGGGATGGATCTTTTAGGCCGTTGTTTTGGAGCTATGTGTGAGAAAAGTTTCAAATGGGTATTATTTAGATCCACCGAATTCGAGAACTATGACAAACCAAGTATAATATAATTGGTGATTAAGAATGTAAATTACGAATGTAGATCCACTCCAATATCATTTTTTTTCGAGGTGACAATTTTTAACATAATACGAAAACACGATTCAAAATTCTCAACACAAATCGGTATATAACACGATCCGTTAACACGAATAATAAATGGGTTGAGTTAGTATTAAACAAGAACAACACGAAATTAACACGATCAACACGTTTAAGTAGTATTATAAAAATAAAATTACTTAATTCTTGTATAAAAAAAATATTTTTACCCATTTTTATTATTAATTTATTAAGTTAATTTTTAGTTTAGAAAAAAAATATAAGCATAGGTTCTATTAAAAAATAATAAAATTTTAGACATAAAATTGAGTGTTAAATTTTTTATTTACAGATTATATGAGTCAATATAAATATGACACGAAAATAAATAAGTTGACACAACGCAACACGATTAGTTAAACAGATTAAGTTATAGGGTTGACTAGTGCTCGACATGAATTCAAAATAACATGACACGAATACAACCCAATATGACACGATTGTCGTCCCTAATTTATTTTATCATTTACTTATATAAAATATGCCCCATTTAGTTCGGGGAGATGACCTAATGCCTCTCATATAGAGTACGCATGGATGCATGGAGTTAAAACTATGGGTATGGGCTACGAGTTTTAATAAGCCTGATGTTGACAGGCCCAATCCAATAGTCGGTCTGGCAAATTGAACTATGGCTCTGGGCCCAAAAGTTTTTAAACCAAATCTCGTTGAAAAATGGGCTAATTGGGCCCTACTGGGGAGCGTCTGTAACCACCCACCAACCCCTCTTTAGATATCACAACCTGTTCCCGCCCTTTTTCTTTGTTCAAACTTCAAACTTCAAAACTCTCCTACAGTTAGAGCAATAAACACAAAACACACACATACTAAGACAGATGTACACTAAGAGGTTCTGCTTTTAAGAAATTTGGAACCCTACAGTTTTGACTAAAACAGAACCCTAATTTGCAGTGATTTCTTGCAATGGATGTTCAATCCGCAGCATTTCCAGGTATCTATCAATTACCAGTACTGTGTGATCATTTGTTAGTTTGTGGGTGTGTGTTCTTTTTTTGAATCTCTTCTAAATTTGCCATGTTTGACAGGTAAAATTCAAGCATCGAGACCAAAAACCACCCGAAAAATCACTGAAGCACCAAAAACCAATGCCAAGGAACCACCCATTCACGGGTAAGTTTGCCCCCCATCTGCTTGATTTTTTGCCTCTTCGGTGTGCTTTGTAGTATGGCTTTTTTTTTCAAACCACTCTGTTTCAGGCAAAGGCGGGTTTTTGGTACCGCTCGGAACCCAAATGTACCAGCAAAGACGACAGAAAAGCCTATAATCAAACCCCCAACTGGGGTGTCTCAAAAACAACCCAAATCGGTGCAGACAACTCCCTCATCAACCGATGTCGTGGCGGTTCCTGCAAAGGAGACCACCCAGAAATCTCCTGACAAAATTAAAACAAGACCCAAGAAGAAAAGTGTGTGTTTTATAGATAAAGTAAACGAGAAAACTGAAAGGAACACACAGGATGGAGATACCGTTGCACCTCGGACTCCGGTCAGATCTCCTGCTTTGGTCAAGCCCAGAATCTCGGGGACGCCGTATCTGAGTGCAAAGAGATGCAGCAATTGCCGATTTGATCGGCTGGAGACTTCTACTTATTGGCTGAGTCAGATCAGATTGGCCGAGTCTGTGGGAAAGCATTTCATCTCAGCCGCCTTCTTTCAATTGGCATTTGAATCAAAAGCAGAGGTTTTTCACTATCTCCCAGAACTGTTTTTTAGATCTTTCTTTGTCACAGTATTGTTTATGATTTTCAAGATTCGGGATTGTTACAAGTTCAGCAATTTGGAAAACTTCACTTAACATTTTTCCCCCAATTTTACTTTTCAAGTTTAATTTTGTGAATATGCTATTCCACTTTTTAATTATGTTACAGCACAGTAGAAAATTATTGCCAGAGAGAAATGCTTTATATTGAAATTCTATGTTCCATTCACTAATGTCACCTTTTTATTTATTGGTAGCCTATTCGCAACCTTCGTGTTGAGCTAAAGGGTTATTTGGCACGGCACGAGTACTTATCTGCTGAGACAAGGTGGATGGATGTCTCTGTTAAATATGGATTATTGAAGGATGCAAGCAATGCAGCTGAGGTAGATTCAGATCTTGGAAAAGTCGGTGCAAGCGAGGCAACTGGGACTGGGAGCATCGATGATCAAGAAAAGGAAGAATTGAAGGAACAAACTGCTGAAGAACATGAAACCAAAAATGATTGAATTTCACTTTTTTTATCTCTCAAAATGTCATGCAAAGAAGTTATTGGTGTCAAGATAATAAAAAAAAAAATTCATTCTGGGGTGGTGTTGAAAAGTTAGAAAGAACCTTTAATTGTGTTTGTTTGGTCGTGTTTTTGTATTGAATTATGACAGTTGAGCTTTGTTTTAAAGTCATTGGCTTTTGTAATTGTATTGGATTGCATTGTTACAGTTGAGCTTTGTTTTAAAGTCATTGGCTGGATTGCACAATATCAACTGCTTTAGTGAATTGTTTTTTCCTATGCCAAGCTATGAACATAGAAACTGCAGTATGTGGGATTTTTCCAGCGAGCTTGGAAGTTGTGCTTTTGCTCTTGGTAATTTTTTTTAATTTTCAATTTTTGATTTTCTCCAGGGGTCATGAATGCCTCTGGAAGTTGCTGCTAATCGAATTCGGTTCTCCATAAAAGAAGAGTATAACTGACAGTGGAGGGGCATCAAGAATTCGGGACCTTTAGCGCCTAAAGAAAAAAATCTTACCTGATGATACCGTAATTAGCATACCATTATCTACTTGTCGTAGCTTAACCTCAAATAGCAAGGCCTCAAAGACCAGAGCTGAAACAACCAACCAAGAATTCGGGACTCCTTTGATGGCATAAGTGAAGCTTGACATCATCTAATGCAGCTCGTACCTAAAGACCGCTCGAGCTAACTTCTTTACCATCAACAAACTCTTCCACAAAGGAGAATCTTACGGACTGTTAATCACTACTCAACCAGCTCATCCAAAGGCCTTGAAAGTTCATCCAGATGACATCACTTTGTTTCTAGAATGACATATGGAGCATTGTCAGAGATATTCTAATGGAAAATATTTTCCTTATGATTTTAACCGATTGAGGGACTACACAATTTGAGATAATGACAAAAGATAACCCTGTATAAATAAGAAGATATACCCTAAAGAAAAATCTTATTGTAACAACTTCTTCATGCAAATAGAAATCAGAGAGCAAGAAATTCTATTAGAATGAATTAGTCAAGTTTTTTAGCCTGATGAACCACTAAATCATTTGCATCACTTCATTTCTTTAAGTCTTTACTTTGCCATAGCATCAGAGAGCTCTTCAGCTCTACATCCAGAGTCAACCACTCACACACAAATATAGTCCTTCCGACCGTTTCTGAACCCCTTTCCGATACTCCTACACTCAAATCTTTATTTTACACCATCAATACCAATAGAACTTGTCTGACTATGATGTATAGTCCCTTTCTTAACCGCCCCCCCCCCCCCCCCCCCCAAAAAAAAAAAAAGACAAGTTAAGAGATTGCGAGCTTTTTGTTGATCAACCAATACCCGGATTTCAACCGGGTGTGTGAATGGATTTGCAAACACCAGCCTTTGCACTTGACCATGCCACCAAAACATAGCAAAATAGTTGAAAATTTTCCTCCTGGTTCAGATTATTGAACTTTTTAAATTGTACTTGCATGATGAATCCTACTTTTGTTAATTCTTTGCCAAATCAAATCGTTCCCCTCTTTTTTATTCTGAGTGGATTAAATTACACCTTCTATTCATATAAACAAGCATGTAATTAAGTCGGTAGCAAATCCCAATATTGAACTGATAATACGAACAATGTTGTTCCTGCTAATTTCATTCCATATAACAACATCCAAATCCTTAATACAGCCATATCCTTATAACAATTCCATGCTGTATCTACTTCAATCTTTGTTAGTATAAAATGCTAAGCGAAGAAATTTCTTGCGCAGAATATCCTCTCTTTTTTTTTTTTTTTAACATTTTTTCTATCTCTTACCACATATTTTCTTGGCTATTATGTGTTGGAAATATGAATTCCAAAGATAAAGTGAACAGTAAAGTGAGGTACAGATTATGTCGTTCTATTAAAACGATTTGAGCCCTTTTATGAAAGAAACACAATGTTAGCAACACGGCATCGTCGTGTCCAAGATACAATAGTCCAACTTAATTGACTATTGCTTCACTTGGATTAGCACAATACACGACACCTTTCTATATTGTCCATAAAATTAATGTACTAAAATAGAATATAGAAGATATGGAAGTAAATATTTGAAAAGATGACTGTTGAAAAATTAGTCGTAATAATAAAAATTAGGTTTGATGTTACGTATTACTTTATTTTTGGCGTGTCAAGGGGAGGCGTCACCTATGTCTAGGCTTATCATCGAATTAGATATGGATCGGATTGGCCTAGATCCGAATCTGAATCTGATTAAATTTTTGCAAATTCGATCTGATTCTCTTACCGATTTGAAAAATTCAATCCATGTCCAAATCCGTTAATTTTTGGATATTTGATCTAAAAATCTGATCCAATTTGGTTATCACAAAAAATACATGTACACCAAAAAATTAACAATAAGAATTTGGATAATGAACTAAAAAAAATGAAAAGTTGAAGTAAAAGTATGAGGAAAAATCAAACAAGAGAAGAAAACAAAATAAAAAATGAAAAAAAAATGGGTCATATATTGTAATATTCACTTCATTTTTACATATTTTTTAATGGGTCAAACTATAATAGACACAATATATTCTAACTATAATTGAGGGTAATTTGGTAGTTTAATTTGGTCATTTAAACTACCAAATGAAATTTCAATAAATAGTATAATTTTATACTAATTATGATTTTTTTTTAAAAATTAAATTTTTATTTTTGATTTTATTTCAATAAAAGTTATAATAGAACATGAATTTTGGTTATAAAATTTAAAATATTTGATATTCTATCTTTGATTAAACTATTTTTTTGTCTAAATATAGCAATTAAACTTAAGAAATCTATGTCTACCAACTTTAGGGGGTCTGGATGTAATTTACTAACGGATATTGATGACAAGGGTTTAGGTGTTACGCGTGTACAAATTTTAAGAGATCTATGTATAATATTTTAAATATTAAAGAATTTAAGTGATTAAGTGACAAATTTCAAAAAACTTGAGCGTAATTCCCCCCAGGAATATAATAAGTTGATATCCCACACATTCAACAAGGCATTTTCTTTTTTTGACCTGTAGTGTAATATTTGAAATAGAAGTTGGCAAGTGAAAGGTAAGACAAATTGCCATATCAAGTATAAGCTATTTAGTCAATAACACGATCATGATATTTCAACCTTTAAATGGTATAGGAATATGTCAAACGTCACTAGACTCAATTATTCTTAAACAACCGCAGTTCGTACGAGCTTTCCAAAATTTCATTTTAATAAAAATTTTGACATTCTAACTACTAGAGGTTTTAAACCAGTCCAAGTGGCCACCTATGTATGGTATGGTATTCCTTTCAAAATAAGGGATCGCAGGGTCAATTCTTTCCAAATACGCAACTCAATGCACATGATTTTGTGGGTTGTTGCACACATTCAATGAAATCAAAACACGTTTAGATGAAATAATTTTTTCCTTCACAAAAACACTCTCGTGTCTCGAATTTATATAAATTAAAACAAGAAAAAAGACCATTGCAACTAAAAGAGTTGTTTATGTAGTTAATTGATACTCTCTCCGTTCTTATATATCTGTCATTTTATACAATTTTTTTTGTTTCATAATATCTGTCGTTTAATGAAACCAAAACATAATGAATGTTTTTTCTTCCAAATTTACCCTTAACTATTCAATACATTAGATTAAGTGGAAGATAAGTGTCTTTCATATTTTTTTTCTTCTCAATACATATTGAATAAGGGTATTTTAGTCTTGTGTAATTATTTTTTATTTATATTAGAGCTATTTAATAACTTCCTTAATCCCTGTGCAAAATCTTTAAACAACAGATATTTAGAAACGGTAGGAGGGAGTAGTATTTAATAAGAAGTGGTCAAAATGATCCACTATATTTTAAAAGAAGGCATTCTTAATCAAATAATCCTCACCTCGTTGCTCCCCTGGATAGAACCAGCCCTCATTATGTACTTTGAGGTTCATTATCACACATATTTGGACCCATTCAAATGTTGATGCCTAAACTGGGGATTGTAAATGTGTCCTACAAGGACAGTCGAACTATGTGTCCACACTAGTTTTAAAAATTTACCCTTTATTATAATAATTTCATTGGCCAAACTTGGACGATAACATTCTAATTTTCATTTTTGAACGGGTTGGATAAAATATGAAAATACTAGCAATAATCTCGTGTCTAAAGATACTATATAATATTAAAAATTAAACTGATCAAGCAATATTTGTATTTTAAATAATAATTTAAAATTTTTAATTATGTAATTTAAAATTAAAATAAAGAGAAAATGTTAGGTGTGAATTAATAAGATTATTTGACATTGAAAAATGTGTTGATTGTGTTCTCTAGTATGGGGGGTCATATAGAGAAGTTGATGTTTTTGGGAGGAAAAAAAATTTTGGGATGGATTTTATATCATTGGATCAAAATAGATGAAGATTAGGTCAATCTTAACCATTGTTATACTTTTATGATAATTTATCATGCTTCTTCTTTTTACAAATATTCTAAATCAGTAAAATAGTTTTTATAGGTCCTAATGATACCCTAAATATGCCTAAGATTGAGCTCGAGAATTCAGGTCATATATTCCTAGATCGGGAGCTCAATGCATCTTGGATGACCATGAAACTCGAGGTCAAATCTCACATCCCTACAACTGCACCTCAAAAAAGATAGCACAGAAGATAGTTGGCATCTGCCCAAGCGCCACCCAAATAGTAACGATCGCATATCTAGACAAAGAAGTCACAACTGCCTCAGCACCTTCCACAGCCATTGCACGATAAGGGCAACCGTTGCAAGAGATAGGGAGGAGGAATCACGCTATAGATCAGGCGAAGTCTTGGACCAACTATAAATATGAGGCTTAACCCTCTGAAATGGATAAGCAACTGTAGCCTAAGCAAACACTTAGTGTAATTCCCCTCTTTATCAATATAAATCCCAGTAGCAAGAGACTCCCTTGAAAGTTGATTAGTCGAACTCTCGAGCTAATAAACCACTATAAATTTCTTGTGTTGTAAATTTTTTTTCCCAATTCAACTCTCAAGAGTCTAGGAGTTCAGACTGAGTCATTCAGTGATCTCTAATTTCCAAACCCTACTCTATCATGTTATACATATCATCAGGTCTTATTAACATCTAAATTTAACGATATCATAGAATTTAATTAAGATACATAATTTG